CCTAGCCCTATGCTAAGAAGAAAAGACAAATGATGGAAGATTCTAAAAAAATTAATCCAAAAATTGTTTCCTGATAGGCTCTTTAGAATATTTAAGTATTTTAAATCTGTGGTTTCTAAGTTCCACTACCCAGTACTACTGAATCAAAAAAAATTGGTGCAAATTGGATTTTAAGATGTGGAAAACAATATTTTACAACATTGAATTTCTAGATTTACCAGTAATCTAGAGTGAAGGACACAAATTACCTCAAGAAAAGAGAAGGTTTAGGTAAAGATGAAACATCTTAAAGATTTTTTTTTACACCAGCAAACTCCCAATTTTTTCATGAAGAAACAAACTGAAACTAATTCACGCAAAGCAGAAGCTCCCAAGAAACATTCTACAAAGAGAAAAAATAAAACTCTGAGGGAATATTAGGAATTACATATGAAAGTTATCCTCACCCAGGGAGACCAGATTTCTATAGTTCTCCAACACACATCTCTATATACATTCTGCTGGGCAGGATCCAGACATTTCCACTCTTCTGGGGAGAATTCTATAGCCACATCCTTGAATGTGACAGAGTTCTTTTTTTTTTTTTTTTTTTTGAGACAGTCTTGTTTGTTGCCCAGGCTGGAGTGCAGTGGCGCCATCTCAGCTCACTGCAAGCTCCGCTTTTTGAGTTCATACCATTCTCCTGCCTCAGCCTCCAGAGCAGCTGGGACTACAGGCACCCGCCAGCACGCCTGGCTAATTTTTTTTTTTTTTTGTATTTTTAGTAGAGACAAAGTTTCACCTTGTTAGCCAGGATGGTCTCGATCTCCTGACCTTGTGATCCGCCTGCCTCGGCCTCCCAAAGTGCTGGATTACAGGTGTGAGCCACCGCGCCCGGCCAGTGACAGAGGTCTCAATTTAACCACAGGAGAAATGAGTTAAGGGAGCTAGTTCTGACTGTAATTATCTGATAAAATAACTTTCAACACAGTAATGTTCTCTAAAGTATTCTATAACTTAGGAAAAAGGATGGCATGCGAGCAATTACTGTTGCTGCAATGGAAATATGGGCAACACTGACCTGCTACCAAAACCAAGCAGAGTAGGCCCTGTGACTTCCTCGAACAAAGGGTAAACTCACCACTCATTAGAGTATCTGGAAACCCTCATGCTTGACCCTGGCCTCGCTGTAGAATCATGTTTTAATTTAAAAAAACAGGGATGTTTCCACCCAGAAAAACAGACAGAATCTGTGGGGAGGGAACAAGTGACTGCTTCTCTTCAAACAGTCCATGTGATCCTATTAGAAGACTGGGCTGAGAGTCAGCTAAGCACTGGCTTTCAAGCTTCAATGTGCATATAAATTATTTGCTATTCTAGGCCTCATTGTAAATAACAAAATTCTGCAGGTTTGAAAAGTGTCCATGAAAAGGAGCTTCTTATAGCAAGTCTCCTGTTGATGCTGATATTCCTCCCCCTAAATCCATTATAGTACCACTCAGCTAGAGTAAGAAGGCACAGCACACAGGGTCCCTTACCCCAACACAAATACTTTTCATCTGAAGAGAAGACCACCAGTCATCATCCTGAAACAGCATTCTCTGCAGGCCCTTCAGTGGTTACAGAGGCTGGAGATGGTGGCAATATCTGAATAAGTCTGCATTTGAAAAACACGTGCACATGCATTACTGTGATCTTTAAGGAGCATGTACTGTGTGTGCAGGAGTATGTCACAGAGCACTGTGCTGGGAAGATCACATTATGTGTGTTAATTCTCATAACATCCTGGGAGGTGGGTACTAAGTGTCCCATAATTCCCAGGATTTAAATGCAGGGCCCAGCATTTCTATTTTTTTTTTCTGTCTCCCTATGATTGATTTTTTTTTTAAAAAAGTTCAGAATAATAGTTCAATATAAATAGATGGGAGAGAAACAGAATGGAAGTGTTAAGTGCAATTCAGAGGAATTTATTTTTGTATTTGTATTTACTTTGAGAATTGTTAAAAAAAATAAAACTGTAGGGATGGAGAACAGATTGCTGGGTGTCTCTAGAAACACTGGTTTTAATTTTATAAAAAGAATTTAAAGCACAAAAGTATATTGCTTTTCCCCATTTATCTGCTTTTGTGTTTCAGGAAATTGGAAGCACCAGCTCTGAAGAGGCAGTAGGAGTAGCCACCCCAAACTCAGATCTCCTCTAGCAGTTCTGTGAGAGATTTCAATGTGGATTAGACCTGGACAAGATTCAGCAGAGGGTGGATCTGGGCAGGGTTGGGATAGAAGGTGGGCCCTAGGCTTCTGCTCTCTGGGCCACTAAGTATTTTCAGTTTTGTTTTTTCTAAGCCTGAGCAAGAGAAATTTGATTCTCAGAGTTTGTGTAATTTTAATCTATTTTAGACACTTCCCTGTCTATATTACAACATACAATAAGGAGGAATTTAACCAAAACCCTTATGTTTTTCTGGACCAATTATATTAGAAGCTAAATACTTATTCTTAGCAAGCTAAAAACAATACAAATAATAAGAACTTCTCTTCTATCCATGAATAGCCCTTCAGGTAGAGGCATCAAAACTCACAAAACAATAAAAGGGAAGTAACCCAAATGAAGCTTAAGCTTCCCATGCAGTTTCCGTCTTTGTACTGAACACATGATGCTGAATTCAACCATTTATTCATGTGCTCTAGACTGCAAGTTCCTTCATGGGAGGGACCGTGACTGCTTCGTCTCTTTTTCTAATGACCATACAAAATAGAAACAATTAGTTTATTGATCAGTTTGAGTCTCCAGAACCAGAAAACTGGAACAACTCTTATCTGGTTATGAATCAATGAGATTCTTTCTGTGAGGGGAGGAACAAACCCTTGATAAGTCATTTCTCTTTCTCTGAAATGGAACCAGAATTAGACTTTGTCAGACTGACCCCAGTCTGCACAAGACATCCTCAAATGTCTCAAATACTCACTGAGTGTCCTCAGTGACCCTGGCTGAAGCCCCCATAGTGATCCAGGCAAGAGAGACTGAGACTGACTTCATGGAGTGCAAATAGAAAATAGAACTGCCCAGGCAGAGCTGCAGATTCTAGATCCAGATGTGATATGCACTGTCCCTGATCAGCTAACTCTGAGACAAGAGGAAAGACGAAAGTACTCCAGTACGCCAGTATACAGGATGGCATACTTGTGATTATGGTTGTGATTATGGCTCTGTATATTTTGTGGCCCTAACCTCCTACTGCTAAGGTGCTTGTTATACACTTACAGATTCTGCCACAGGATTCTATTCACACCAGAAGCTTCTCACACAGCTGTAGCAGGTGACAAGACCTGGAAAACTCAAAGGGCTCCACGCTGAAAGTGGGGTTTAAGTTGTCTATGTTGACTTCTCATGATGCAGAAAATGCCTTCTGTGAGTTTTCTGTATGTCTTCAACCCGAAGTCTGGCCCTATCTTGTGAATCCTAGGCAGAAGCCAGCTTTTATGTGCAGATTCTAGGTGGGATCAATGTGCCTCTGCATTCCTGGGGATTACAGCAAACAGAGTAAAACCAGAGACAGCCTTTCATGGAGGCTCCTTCAACACATTCTGAAGAACATTTTGACCTAAAAGGAAAAAACTGGGGTAAACATAAGTAGAGAGTTTATTTGGGCCAAAGCTTGAAGATTGCGACCTTGCAGTATAAAGCTGCCCTGAATATATACTCCAATTAGAAGCAGTTACAAGTGTATTTTTAAAGGCAAAAAAGAAAGCAGAGAGGGGACTGATACAAAGTTGTTAGACATTCCTATTGATTTACAGAAGTAAAATTGGTTAGTGGCTGGCTATATATTGTTAAGCCATAGAGTGTGGGTTACAGTGCCCACTGTGGTATTATTAGGTTACTTTATAGCCACTGATGGCAATAGCAAGGAATTTCAAAAAACAAATAGTTCAAAGAGGGGAACAGTAGGACTGTGGTCTCATTTTAACAAGTCTCTGGGTCTGATAATTAAAAGAACCTGTATTTCTCAGATAAAAGTGTCATTTTTCTCTCAAATCCCAGGACATAAATTCAGAATTTGGGAATGCACATTTAGGTCCTGGAGGGCTGGTGAGCTATGGACATTTGTGGGCATTTGGACAAGGGGAGAAGGGACAGAATTGAAGTTCTCAGGTTTAATCAATGCACATGTGTGATCCTGGTTGGGTGTATGGGCCCCATGATGTCTGAACCAGTGTCAGATCTGAAGATGTCAGGAGCATGGAGGGAAGTGGAATAACTGATGGCTGTCCTGAAAGGTTATTTTTGTAGAAATCTAGTCTAACTGCTCTAGAAGTGATTGTAGATCCCAAATAAAGAGAACTTTTGGTTTGCAGATTTGTGGAGCACTTTGCTGCACTTTGTGTACTTTGCCACAAAATTGTAGATTGTGACTGGAATCCCCAGAAGGAAGGTTTTTTCTAAAGAGAAGCCTGGTGGGCACTTTGTGTATACCATGTGGTAATTCTGGACAGTGTTTGGAAAATATAACTAAAAGCAAAATAATCTCCAATCCTATGATACTCTCCACAATAATAGAACAGCAAGATAATGATTTGTTATTTAATTAAACCAAAATACGATGTGCATCACAGGCAATCTAATAGATTGCAAATACAGAAAAAACGTCGCCATTAGTACTCAAGTACAAGACATGACAGCACCATTTGTCATACACAGTTTATAATAACGTCAACTAGTAATTTGGGAGGTCATCTGGGTTTTCTAATTGGTAACATTAAAAACAAACAAACCAAAAAACCACTTTCCATATCTTCATGATAGGACGTAGTTTTGAAATGTGGAGGCACGTATGGGCTGAAGGCAGCCTCCTACTTGCCTACAGAAATTGTGGCATAGGGTGTATATTCTTGCTATTTGCATTTCAACGCAATAGTTCCCAGGTCCTAAAGACAGTTTTGAGTCAAAAAAGACAAATGACCTAGTTAACTGACAAAAATGATTTACATATTTTTCAAAGCAGCAGAGAAAATATTTAAATATAAAAGTTTTCAAACTAAATGCTTTAAGAAAAGGGAGAAGAGCAAAAAGTCTTCCCTCATTCTAAAGAGAAAGCATTAAGCCTTTTCTAATTTGTATTTGGTCCTACAACAGGCAGGTCTAAAGGTCTGGTCTTGAACTCACTAACGATGGAATTCTTGTAGCACATGACGCACTTGAGCAAACTGTGTGCACCGGAAAGAGGATGTGTGGGGAAGAAAAGAGCATAAGAGAGAAAGGTGCTATCAAGAGCCTTGGGTGGGGGCAAGGCAGGATTGATGAAATGACTGGTTTGTGCTACAAGTTCAGGCCCAGGCAGGGCTAAGCTCTGACTGATTCCTGAGTCCATAAAGGCAGAGGAGATTAAGATCAGGTGGTCCAGAAGCCTAGGTAGGTGAAGAAAACAGATTCCTGCTACAGATCTGGGGTTGACATGAGCCAGGAGTCTTCTGGGCATTGTGTGTGTTCTTAGGAGAAAACTGTAGGAGCAAAGCTGCCATGGGCACAATTCCTGAGGGTAGAACCCTGTCCTGGGATGAGTGTGGCCATTCGAATACCCAGTGGGCGTGCTCAGGAGTGGGTTAGCACCAGGTGGCGGCCGGCAGCAGGGTGCGGGGAAGGGATGTTTCTCAGAACTCCTTTCCTCCAAGTTCTCAGTCCCCTCTCTCCCCGCAAGGAGACCTGGAGGAACAGGACAGTGCCCAGCAGGACCGCGCATGTGCAGAACCCAGTCGCGCCTCTGGCAGACACCAGCGACTCCCTTCAGCCCAGGCTCAGCCATGTCTCCATGTGATTCTTCTGACAGAAAGCCTGCGGAGTTTCCTCAACACCGGTCAATGCTCCAGCCCCAACGGGCTGTCCAGCAACTCACTAACGACCTCACCCAGAGTCAGCGCAGACCCCACAAGCTCAGCGCTCTTCCCTCAACTGCCCCACTGCAGACGCCAGTCCCTGTGTCTGGACACCCGTTTTCATTTCTGAAGGCCTGCAAACCAGGGGTACCCACAGCTTCCTCAAGTTCCATAATGTGGCAGAACTACTCACAGAACCCAGCGAAGCGCTGTGCAAAGGACACCAGCGTATTCTAAAAGATGCCGCTCAGGAACGGCCACGCGGAGGAGGCGCTCAGGGCAAGGGGACTGGTGGGAAAGTTGGGGCGGGCGGGTGAATGGCTTCCCTTCCTCACACACCTCACAAAAGCCTTTCCTTCAAGACCCGCTGGCAGCCCCCAAACCAAGAGCCACGGGGGCGCTGTCCCATTAATGAGTCCCCATTTGCTCACATGAACTCTGTGTTTTGAGGGGGCCTCCATCTCATTTGGAACAGGGTAAAGTAAGGACGGGACCCCGGACCACAGCTCCTCCCACGCGGTGCCCGCACACGGGGCGCCGGCGTCTTCCGGGTGAGCTCCTCACCCCACAGCCCGGGGAAGGCGCGGGGCTGCGGGCGCAGAGCTGAAGGAGGAGGGCTGCAGGCTGGGCAGAGCCACCGTGCGGGGACCGACAGGAGTGGGGTCCCTCACCGGAGGGGACTGAGGACGGAGGGCTGAGCGGCGGCAGCAGGGACTCAGTACACTCCGTCCTGCCGCCGCCATTTCCCGCCGGTGCCGATGAAGCCCCCCCCCTTCAGCCTCGGGATGCCCTGCCCCGCACACTCACCATTTCAGGGCTTCAAGGGTGTTGTGAAGTCTTAGCTAGAATCACCCAATACCCGCTGGTCACAGAGCAAGAGAGGCTGAGGCTGTGGCGGAATCACCGAAGCCTCCCTGAGGGGTGGAAGCAGGACAGTGAGCCCCTAACCCAGCTCTGGCTGAAGGGAAAGGTAAAAGCCGCGCCAGATCCCGGATGCCGCCCCCTCCTTTGCCTGATTGGGCAGTTCCCAGTCCAGCGCCCTCATTGGATACTGCTACTAGCTCTACGCCCTCAAGCTTTGAGTGACAGAATTCGAGTGCCAGAAATTCGACCATACACTTAACGAGGCAAGAGTGACAGACTCGTGTCTCCAGGTATTTTCAGTCAGGGCTTGCTTTCTGTGCTAGGCCTGGCTCTGTTGGGGGTTCATTTTTAACCTTCTGATGTGTAATGTTACGTCCATTTATCAATTGTGCATGCCCACGCGCCCACACACACAGACACCCGCTTGCTCACAAATGGAAACAATATAATCACAATTATTTTAATGTTTTAGATTTCATAACCTTTCTAGCCTCTGGTCTTTTGAGTAGGACACCTGAGATTGGAAGAGGAAACAAGTCTCTAAAAAATAAAATGTTAGTTGTGAATTTAGTTTTTTATTAGCCACATCCAAACTAATAAAAAGAAACAAGTGAAATTGTTTATAATTGTAACCTATTGTATCCAAAATAGTTTTAATACATGATCAATATATAATTAGAAATAAAGTATATTTCTGGTCTAATTCTTCTACACTCACTGTGCATTTTTTTGTTCGCAGCACATACTACTTCAAACCAGCCACATTCCAGGTACCCAGTAGCTACATATGGCAGGTGGCTGCCACATTGAGTGCAGCCATGAAGGCTCTGACTTCAGGGAAGTGACGGCCTGAACACCTCTTTTCTGCTGGAAGTGAGGAAACAGCCTCTCTATCAACTTTTCTCCTCAGGCTCAAGGGTGGGTGGGACAGTGCCCCCTAGAGAAAGCAGAGGTGCAAGCTGAGAGTGTCCACGTGAATATCACGGTCTCCTAGTTGCTGTTTGGTGCCAGTGTGGTGGTCTCAGTTCAGCCAGGTTCAGGCTCTCCTCCCATGACCTGGAAAAATGAGGCATGTGTACACCAGAATGAGAAAGCAGAGTAGGATTTATTAAGCAATAGGAAAGCTCTCAGCAGCCAGAGGGGACCTGAAAGCATGTTGCCAGAAATGGGGCTGACTTCTGGGTCTTTTATGTGGCAAGAATGAGGAAGTCTTCTGTGGGTTCTACCCAAATGGGAGGGGTCAAGTTCCCCACCAAGGGTGTTGCATCTGCGCATGCCTGGGGTTGGCCACAGTGATTCCATTTTGGTTATTACCCATGAGTGCCTAAGGGAAACTTACAGGGGAGAAGCTAAAACCACAATACTTATATCATGTTAATGACTTTACAATGAGCTGGGTGAAAACAAGGAAATTTAGGTTGATTTATTTTGCCTATGCCTAAGCTGGGATAGGGATAGTCCCATCTGAGCAACATCCTGGCATAAGAGGAAGTTCTTAACCACATTTCTTCCCACTAGCTACAGGGGCGGGGCAGGTGCAGTCCCGCGGGTGGTTTTCCTCTCCCGAGACCCTCCCTCGCTATCTTCCTAACCAGCCTCTGACTGTCTCCTCTCTCAGGGGTTGAGGTGGTTAGAAATTTAGACTGGGCTCAGCTGGGCCATTCTTCTGGGCTCAGTTTGGCTTCTACAGGTGTGAGTGTTCAGCTGCTGGTGAATTAGGTGGCTCTGCTTCTGGGAGTGAGCTGTCTGTAAACTGAGGCTCTATGGCTTTTCTCAGCATGTTACTTTATCCTACAGAAAGCTAAAATGGGCTTGTTTTCATGGATATGGAAAAATTCTGAAAAAGATAACAGAACTATTTAAGACCTTTTGAGCCTAGGCACCAAACTGACCCACTGTCACATGCACAGCTTTGGCCTGTGCAAATTAAGCAAGAAAGTTCAAGGTTTAGGAAACAGATTCTGTCTGTTGATGGGAACCAGCATAAAAGCCATTGCCAAGAACATGAATACAATAAGAAAATTTTTTAAATTTCTGTTTTTGCAATCAATTTTGTTTTGTTTTTTTTGCAGGTAAGGCTTATAAAACTGTCCCACATCTACTAAGCAGCTGGCTTGGACTCAGGATCATCGTTGGCCTGTCTCTGAAGCCCATGCACCTCCATAGACCACACCACTCAGCCAGGTTTCCTGGTCCTTCAAGGGGTGGAAGAGTGACACTTCTGAAGTAGAAGCAAGATTTTTTTTTTGAGAATCTCATCCCATCTATCCAGTACTCTTCACCATTAGAAATAATTCACTCCAGGGAATGCTTCTGAAGTCTCTTGGAAAAACTGGAAATGATTTGAGGGAATGGCTAAGCATTGGTTTAGGAAATTAACGCCCACCATTACATTTGTAATTTCTTATAGGATAAATACGAAAACACCTATAATGCACTCCACATATCTGGAAACCTTTGTATCCTTATTCTGTATTGGTAGGATACTTATGATTTTTAATATAGACTAAATCAACTTACTGTGCCTGAAACAACTTTTGCTCGACGGCAAGTGACATAGAGATAAAGCTGCTGATATTTTTCCCTGTTGCAATTTAGCCAACCAGCAGAGTATGTTTTCAAGGGCCAAGATGTTTTCTAAGACCCCCATCCAGGAGCAGCTATAGGGCAAATGCCTAGAGCACACATAGAAATCACACACAACCAATGCATTCCTGACCCTGAATCAATGCTTCTTACCCTTGTGTGCACATTAGAATAACCTGCTGTGCATGTGGGAGGTGGTGTTTAATGTTCCCAAACCCAAGTTGCAAGGGAATAATTAAGACAATCTCTAGAGTGAGACCCAGGCAGCAGTGTGATTTAAAGCTCTCCAGGTGATTACAATATGCAACCATACTCCCAAATGTCTGCTGTAAACCAACATCTTTCAGAGAATCAGTTGAAAGTATTTCTCAAATTAATGTAAGAAGTATTTGCTGTTGAGTTGTGGCCTTTCAATCTTACTCGTATTACCCACATTCTATCCTTTGCAAAACTAACCTCTGCTGAAGGGGTGGCCTGCCCCTCCACACCTGTGGGTGTTTCTCGTTAGGTGGAATGAGAGACTTGAGAAAAGAAATAAGACACAGAGACAAAGTATAGAGAAAGAAAAGCGGGGGCCCAGGGGACCGGAGCTCAGCTTACAGAGGACCCACGCCGGCACCAGCAGGACAATAGGATCGTTTTTAGGGAGGAAATCAGCAGTAAGCCATAAGAACAAGGATCTCTGTGACATGAATAAGTTTAAAGGAAAATCCTGTGCCTAGAGATAAACCTTTTAGCAGCATTGTTTCATCCTATCACATGGGGATAAACCTTGGACAATACCTAGCTTTTCCTAGGAACAAAGACACACCCTGCACGCCCAAAATCCATTAAACCTTGAGTTACCACAGCACATGTCTCTTGCAAGGACAAGGTTGGGGGTAGGGTCACAGATTAACAGCATCTCAAATACAGAACAAAATGGAGTCTCTTATGTCTACTTCTTTCTATATAGACACAGTAACAGGCTGATCTCTTTCTTTTCCCCACACTCTGCTACTTGTTTTCTTCCTGATTCAAACCAGTTCCACACACACTGGGTGCACACTATGTGCAGCCCACGGTGCTAGGTGGCCTGGCCATGGGGAATATTGTTGTGGAGGAAGGACTTTGCTGTAAGAAATTTACATTCCCCAAAACTAAAACCATGCTGTTTACTCAATTGAAATAAAAAATGAAAGACTGAGGGGGATGCCCAAAGGTCAGGACATGAATAAATACCTTGGAATATTAATATCCATCTCATGATACCTGAGTGTAAATGCCCCACTTTGAAACAAAACAATGCCAAGCACTGCTATTATTCTGAAATATTGTTAGGATTAAATAATAAATATTTAAAATTTTATTGATGTATAACATGCATACAGAAACATATGCACAATAAAATATTAATGTAACGCTCAATAACTTGTAACAAAGCTAATACATTTGTGTAACTATAGAACTATCCCTGTTTTTGCCCACAAACCACTTCCTTCCTCTTTTCCTCCTCCCCAAACCTAACCACGATCTTAAGAGCTAATGTTATAGTTTTTCTTTTTATACAAGTGTTTTATTAGAGAATATTTTAACCTATACACAATAACCAAAATAGTATGAGCTGATGCTCAGCCTCAATATCTACTAATTATGCCCTATTTGTTTAATTTCTACTTCAACTCATTCCCTATCCCCTTTATTATTGTTTTTAGTTATTTTTTGTAAGATAAGATGTATATGCCTTGAAATATACAGTCTTTACTGTACCTTTTTGACAAGTCAATATATCTATATATTCTTTTCCCTTTCAATTATAGAATTACTGCCAGTTAAAATTATCAATGTGCATGCAAATCACCTGAAAACATTATTTGAAATCCAGATTTTGATACAATATATCTGGGCTTTGCCTGACAAACCCAGTTTCCTGGGTTGAAGCAGGGCTTGAAGAGTGTGCTAGCAACATCACCCTGCCCATGCCTAACACCACCCTCACCCACCTGTGACTCACCTCTGGGGCCAGAGGCAGGGAAGGGAGGGTCATTTTGGCAAACCAGGCGTCTGTGCCATGCAAAGATTCCTGCCCCTTTAGAAATGGGTGAGGGTGAAAGCATCATGGCCTGCAGCTTTTTCATGCACATCTCCCCTGAGCCCACATGGCCACCAAGAGGGCTGCTGATGGCCTCTGGTCCCCCAACAAATTGCCCCACCTCCAGATGGACTAGAGCAAAGTCAAGGGAAAGTCTGTCTGGTCCTTGTTTCTGCTCAGGCACTTCTGAGTTCTGTAGCCTTGCACAGGCCTTTGCCTCTCTCTGAGCCTAAGTTTTCCACCATACGATGGGTACATTTACACAAACCACACACACAATGAAGGTGAAAGGAGAGAATGGGCAAAATGACCTCACCTGCCAGGGAGTCAGCGCTCAGATAACTTTCATGCCCTGGGGTGGAATATTTCTTCAGAAACAAAGAGCTTGCGGATCCAGGACCTGGGCCTGCCACTAATCTTCTCTGTGACTCTGAGACAGTGGCTTCCCCTCTCTGAGCTCAAATCCCCACTGGACAGGCTGCTCTAACCTTCTGTGTCCCTGGGCTGAGAAGGGAGTTAGTCCTCCCCAGCTTGTAGGGGAGCCCTTGACCATGGTTGAGTGCAATCTGGCCCCACTGTCCTGCCTCACTGGAGCATTGAGAAAAGGCGAACACAAAACCCAGACCCCAGCTGATCTGGGAACAGGTTCTCCTTGAATTTGTCAGGCACCTTCAGGAATTTGTCACCAGTTAACCAGCCTGTGACTCTGTCCACAAGCTGCTCCTTCTGCATGGATGCCGCTGTCCACTGCCACTCTACTAAAACACCTTTGATGCCCTCCTGATGCGCGCTGTCGGGCACGGCGAGATGGGCTGAGAGTGTATCTCCCTCCCCAAACTCGCTTGGAGCTGTGCGGGGCGGGCGGCCCCAGGACCCGCGGTTCTGAGCAGGTCCCGGGGGCCCCGCTGCCCGCACCCCAGGCCGCGCTGCGCAGCCCCAGTCTGCCCGGAGATGGCGACGCTGTAGCCTCTGGAGCCAGGGCCACCGGGGGTCTCGGCGGGGCCCAACAGCGGCGAGGACGCGGACCCTGCAGAGATGGGAGGGGCGCGCCCCGAGCCCGAGCCACACCCGGACCAGTAGCCGTCGGTCAAGCCAGGGCCGGAGCGGACACCGTGGGCGGCGAAGAGGAAGCTGGGCCCAGCGCCCTGGGCGAGCCCTGAGCCGCGGAGCCCCGAGGGGTGGAGCTGGGTCTGGCCCTGCAGGCAGCTGGTGTCGCAGGTGGGCCACAGCCCAGGACACGCCCAGGCGTCCCACCTCATGGTGCTGCACGGGCTGGAGAATGGGGCTAGGGACAGTGCCAGGGCCACCCCGACGCCAGCACCCCTGGCAGACCCAGGGTCCGCCTGTGGAGAGACTGGATAGGTGCATTAAGCGATCAGAAAAGTCACTGGCTGGCTCTGTTGATGAGCAGAACGCTTTCAGAGAAGTGTATGCTCACGCAGTGCTCGGACAGCATTCGCGGAGTTTGACACTTGTCTGCTTGGGCAGATGCTCATATGCTTCCACAGAATGGATATTGTGATGGTGGAAGGTCAGTTGATGCTACAAGTAAAAATTCCAGAATCACAAGTTACTTTTAACAAGCAGAGGTGAAGGATCTCCTTCTGCAAGTTGGCCGGTACTTGAGGTATATTCATTCGATGTCTTTGATTCACATGGACATGTAACCTGGTAATATTTCCATGTCTCAAACCTCAATCCCCAAGGCAGCCTCTGAAGAAGGGGATGAAGATGACTGGGGGTACTGGTCCATTTTCAGGCTCCTGATAAAGACATACCCAAGACTGGGTAATGTATAAAGAAAAAGAGGTTTAATGGACTCACAGTTCCACATGGCTGGGGAGGCCTCACAACCCTGGCAGAAGACAAAAGGCATATCTTACAGGGCAGCAGACAAGAGAGAATGAGGGAAACTAGTGAAAGGGATTTGCCATTATGAAACCATCAGAGCTCTCAGGAGGACTTATTCACTACCAGAAAAGTATTGGGGAAACTGCCCCCATGATTCAATTAACTCCCCCCAGGTTCCTCTCACAACACATGAGAATTATGGGAACTATAGTTCAAGATGAGATTTGGGTGGGGAAACAGCCAAATCATATTATTCCACCTCTGGCCCCTCCTAAATCTCATGTCCTCACATTTCAAAACCAATCAAGCCTTCCCAACAGTCCCCCAAAGTCTTAACTCATTTCAGCATTAACTCAAAAGACCACAGTCCAGGCTGGGTGTGGTGGCTCATGCCTGTAATCCCAGCACCTTGGGTGACCGAGGCAGGCAGATCACTTGAGGCTGGGAGTTCAAGACCAGCGTGACCAACATGGAGAAACCCTGTCTCTACTAAAAATACAAAATTAGCTGGGTGTGGTGGCACATGCCTGTAATCCCAGCTACTTGGGAGGCTGAGGCAGAAGATTCACTTGAACCCAGGAGGCGGAGGTTGTGGTAAGCCGAGATCATGCCATTGAACTCCAGCGTGGGCAACAAGAGTGAAGTTCAGTCAAAAAAACAAAACAACAAAAACAAAAACCAAAACCACACAGTCTAAAGTCTCATCTGAGACAAGGCAAGTCCCTTCTGCGCATGAGCCTGTAAAATCAAAAGCAAGTTAGTTACTTCCTAGACACAGTGGGGGTACAGGCATTGGGTAAATATAGCTGTTCCAAATGGGAGACACTGGCCCCAAAATAGGGGCTACAGGCCCCATGCAAGTTCACAATCCAGTGGGTCAAATCTTAAAGCTCCAAAATAATCTCCTTTGACTCCATGTCTCACATCCAGGTCATGCTGATGTAAGAGGTGGGTTCCTATGGTCTTGGGCAGCTCCACCCTTGTGGCTTTGCAGGGTACAGCCTCCCTCCTGGCTATGTTCTTGTGCTGGTATTGAGTGTCTGCAGCTTTTCCAGGTACATGGTGCAAGCTGTTGGTGGAGCTACCATTCTGGGGTCTGGAGGACGATGGCCCTCTTCTCACAGCTCCACTAGGTGGTACCCTGGTAGGGATTCTGTGTAGGGGCTCTGACCCTATATTTCCCTTCCACATTGCCCTAGCAGAGTTTCTCCATGAGGGCCTTGCCCCTGCAGTAAACTTCTCCCTGGACATCCAGGCATTTCCATACATCTTCTGAAATCTAGACAGAGGTTCCCAAACCTCAATTCTTGACTTCTGTGCAGCTGCAGGCTCAACACCATGTGGAAGCTCCCAAGGTTTGGGTCTTGCACCCTCTGAAGCCACAACCCAAGCTGTACCTTGGCCCCTTTTAGCCACAGCCGTAGTGGCTGGGACATAAGACACCAAGTCTCTAGGATGCACAAAGCAGGAGGGCTCAGGGCCTGGCCCACTAAACCATTTTGTCCTCCTAGACCTTCTGGCCTGTGATGGGAGGGGCTGCCATGAAGACCTCTGACATGCTCTGGAGACATTTTCCCCATTGTCTTGGTGATTCACATTTGGCTACTCTACTTATACAAATTTCTGCAGCTGGTTTGAATTTCTCCTCAGAAAATGGGTTTTTCTTTTCTATCACATTGTCAGGCTGCAAATTTTTTGAACTTTATGTTCTCTTGTCTCTTTTTTGAAACGAAGTGCTTTTAACAGCATCCAAGTCACCTTTTCAATGCTTTGGTGCTTAGAAATTTCTTCCACTAGATGCCCTAAATCATCTCCCTCAGGTCCTAAGTTCCACAAATCTCTAGGACAGGGCCAAAAAGTCACCAGTCTCTTTGCTAAAACATAACAGGAGTCACCTTTACTCCAGTTCTCAACAAGTTCCTCATCTCTGTCCGAGACCACCTCAGCCTGGATTTCATTGTTCATATCATCATCAGCATTTTGATCAAGGCCATTCAACTAGTTTCTAGGAAGTTCCAAACTTTCCCACATTTTCCTGTCTTCTTCTGAGCCCTCCAAACTGTTCCAACCTCAGCCTGTTACCCAGTTCCAAAGTTGCTTCCACATTTTTGGGTAACTTTAAGGGAGCCCTCGACTCTAACTGTACCAGTTTAGTGTATTTGTCCATTTTTACACTGCTGGTAAAGAGATACTCAAGACAGGGTAATGTATAAAGAAAAAGAGGTTTAATGGACTCACATTCCACATCGCTGGGGAGGCCTCTCACTCATGTCGGAAGACGAAAGGCACATCTTATGTGGTGGCAGATAAGAGAGAATGAGAGAACCAAATGAAACAGGTTTCCCCTTATAAAACCGTCAGATCTATTGAGACTTATTCACTGCCAGGAGAACAATATTGAGGAAACTGCCCCATGATTCAATTATCTCCCACCAGGTCCTTCTCATAACATATGGGAATTATGGGAGCTATAATTAAAGATGAGATTTGGGTGGAGACACAGCCAAAGCATGTCACTGGGCATCCAACGAAGTTATACTTAAAACAGGTAATTCTGGGTATGTAACAAGGATCTCTAGCCCACAGATTGAAAAGGATGATAGTCCTTTTTTTGGAAATGAAGTTTTACAGAAGAACTATATCAGCTACTAAAAGCAGATATCTTGTACTTGCCCTCACAGTGGCATGTGCTGCTGGTACAGAATCTCTTCCCAGGAATGGAGACCAATGGCATGGAATCAGATAGAACAGATTACCTCAGATACTACACAGGCTTTTCCAAGAATTTGCAGAGTTGCTCAAATTTATGATTCGTCCAGATCCAGAGAGAAGACCTTCAGCAGTTGCCCTGATAAAGCATTCAATGTTGCTGCCTGCTTCTAGAGAGAGGAGAACAGTTATGTATAGAACTGAATGTTGAGAAGTCCAAAAATACACTTTTACCTAAAGAAATCATGAAAGCACAGACAGAGAAGGCTGCAGCTGAGGAAGGAGCACTCTTCACTGATCAGAGGCCACTAGGTCCACCATGCAGAGGAACACAACATCTTGACTTCTTAGAAAGAAAATGAAGTGCCCTATCAGCCTTCCAGTATACTAAGCTACTCATTTCCTACCTAACCACCCCACTAAAATAACACTGTGACAAAAGCAAGCTAGGTTGAAATCACTGCTAGAATTCAATTTGCAATTAATCTCTCTTTGGTGTCAGTAGTTTTACTGATTAGGACTTATACTTGTGAATTACAATTGAAAGCTGTACTTTGACCACAGCTTTTTCAGGCTTTTGTGTACTTACCAATCTGTCTTCTGTTAAATGTCAGTCACTAGTGGAGGTTACAGCAGCCTTTCCAAAATTAACCGCTGTGGTGGTGTGTTGCTCTCAGTGTGCTGATGCACTTTAGTGAAAATATCTTTTCCTGTAGTGACCTGGGGAAAGGATTCAAGTGCTTGATGACAAACATATTCTCCTCTCAAAAAGGCAAATGCTAAAACCACTCATTACTACTCAGCCTTTAATGTATCTGTGTGTCACATTTACATTTCTTCTCTTTTTTTTTAATGTGAATTATACTTGTATATCCAATTGAGAGCATCTTTTAGGCACTGCATGAGACATGGGATGATAGTTCTGTGGAAGTATTGCCTTGTGAATTTGCTATTTAGTTTTGTCTTTGCTGTAAACTTGCAGCATTAAACAGACACTGTTGTTAATAGTCTTTCTTTTGAAACAATTATGTGAAATGTACAGCTGCTCTTGATGAAAACAACTATTGGCCTTTTTTCCTTTGAACTTTAAAGCTGGTGAATTTTTAAAAAATGCATCTTCCCCTCGCCTTTGGAATTTTGTATTAATGCCAAATAATAATTACTGAGTTTGTTAATCTTTTCTGGTGTTGTACTTGTCTGACTCTAAAAAAAAAAAAAAAAAGAAAGAAAGAAAGAAAAACACTAGCTGGGTACGGTGACTCATACCTGTAATCCCAGCACTTTGGGAGGCCAAGGCGGGTGGATCATGAGGTCAGGAGTTCAAGACCAGCCTGGCCAACAGGCTATCTCTACTGAAAAGACAAAAATTAGCTGGGCATGGTGGCACACGCCTGTAATCCCAGCTACGTGGGATGCTGAGGCACAAGAATTGCTTGAATCAGGACCCAGGAGACAGAGGTTGCAGTGAGCCAAGATCGCACCACTGTACTCCAGCCTGGGCTAGAGTGAGACTCTGTCTCAAAAACAAACAAACAACAACAACAACAACAACAGCAACAAAAACCCTCCTCCCTCCTCCCCAATTTTGTATACGATTGTACTGTTATTCTGATGTTCAAGGTCTTGCCAGGTTCATCTGCAGTGTTTGTGTATATAAACTGATCTTGGTAATCTGCTACATAGCTGTTTGAAATGCTAGAATTACTTCGGACATTCTAAGTCTTTCACAAAATACATTGTATCTATGATTAGCCATTTGACTAGTAATACTGGCAAGCAGATTTTGCAAAAAGAAATAGAATTTGTCCATTGTTTTCTCACAATTTTGATCTAAAATATGTTTGCTCTTGTCTTTGACTTGTGTTTTATTAATATTGACTGGCATATTAAAGATCACTCTGAGCTTGCCTAGGAAAAGAAAAAACAAAACAGGTCTGTGGGTAGGACTACCAGGCAGAAGGCATGGCGTGAGCACAGGTGTGGGGTTAGGGGAACAAGCACCACAATGCAGGGGCAGGAGGCAGGAGGTGATGACCAAGAAGAGGAAAATCCCCAAACCCAGCAAGTCACTGAGCCAAATGAAAGCCTTTTATCCTGCATCAGCCATTTAACCCCATCAACACTCCAAGTGAACATTCTGTTTTAGAGACATGGATAGTTCTTATTTTCCTGTAATCCTGTAAACGAATCTTATTGCTCTTAGCAGCCTGTCCCCAGGACTAAAATCCCAAGTTAGAATACTATTCTTAGGAAGGCATCTTTCTGGATTAGGCTGCAAGGAAATTGAGTTATTTGCTATCAGTCATTCACATGCTGCACAGACATTAATTTACCAGAGCTGTGCTGGGGAATGGGAGGAGCTCATTAAAACCAGGCCTGGATGGTGCACAGAATGTGAAGGGTATAGGGGAACACAAAAAGGCTAGGCCCAAAGACAGTTCCAAATCTAGGAGGCACTGTTATTATGCCTATTTTACAGAGGAGGAAAATGAAGCACAGCAGGTCACTTGATCAACCATTCTGCCCCAGAGTAGAGGAGCCAGGATCTAGACCAGCCAGCTTGCCTTGCCATCAGAGCTCACACACAGAAGCTTGTTCTGCAATGAAGCAGGACTGTGCTATGTCTAAGTACACAAACTCTGGTTTCACATCCCAGCTGCTCTGCTATTTCCAGCTGTGTGACCACGTGCAAGTTACTTGCCCGTGCTCAGTGTCCTCTGTAAAGTCAAGATAGCGGTATCTGCCTCATGGAGTCCTTTAAGTGAGTTAATAGTGTAACATGTTATGGTGGCATGCACACAGTCACCATCAGTAAATATAGTCTATTATGCCTGAACCCCAGATGGGCACATGTCCTTGAAAAGTCTAAAACCCAGGACTCTGAAATACAGCCTGTGAGATCCTGGAATCCTCCAGCAGCATTCTAACATCTCTTGGCTACAGAATTGTATGCTGCTTCCAGGGCTGGAAGGTGTATTTGTATTAATATAGTGTAATAATACGGCCATGTGTCCACCTAGTTCATCCCTATAGTAGGCAAATAAGGTGATGTCAAAACCTTGGCTGGGCCCAGCCCTGGTAACCTTCCTTTCTCTCTTTCCTGCATACTCTCTCACTCATATTCATACATTCCTTACAGGACTGCTTAGACCACAGAAAAGGCAGGAGGGTGAGGAGAGAAGGTGAGTGGGTGGGTGGGTGCAATTGTTCATTGAAGTGTGCTGCCTCTTGCCATGCTGAACTTGTGGGCCCAGGCACTGGGTTTGGACCTGAGGGGGTCTTGTTCTCCCTTTAAGCCTTGGCTGGGTGTGGTGGTTCACGCCTGTAATCCCAGCACTTTTGGAGGCCAAGGTGGGTGGATCACCTGAGGTAAGGAGTTCGAGACCAGCCTGACCAACATGGAGAAACTCCGTCTCTACTAAAAATACAAAAAAATTAGCTGGGCATGGTGGCCCATGCTTGTAATCCCAGCTACTCAGGAGGCTGAGGCAGGAGAATCGCTTGAACGCAGGAGGTGGAGGTTGCAGTGAGCTGAGATCAAGCCACTGCACTCCAGCCTGGGCAACAAAAGCGAAACTCTGTCTCAAAAAATAAAAAAAAACCCAAACAAACCCAAAAAACACTTTAAGCCTCAATTGGCAGCAATCACAGAGCTTTGTCCTTCCCTGTGAGCCTGTCTGGGTGTTTATGCTGGATGACATGCACCCCCTCTGCCAGGGGTGCAGAGTCTATGGCCTGGCCAGGCAGCCATGGCAGATGAGAAGAGCTTCAACATCGACTTTATTGTGCTGCTGGGTTTTTTTTCTGCTGGCTCTCAGCACGTTTCTCATGAGCCATGATCAGCCTCAGGTCTATGGCACCTTCTGTAGCTCTGTCATGGTGACTGGGGATATCATCTGAAGCACGTGCCACTGCTACCCCAAGGCAGGTGTTGGTGGGGCTGGGTGGGGATAGGAGGATTGCAGACCATGCCTCTGTCTCATAAATCAACTCTTGATCCTTCAGTCATCTCCTCATTCTCATTTTGACTCTCTGTTTACTTCTTTCTGGTCTCCTGAGCATTCATCCATCCATCCATGTTTCCATCCGTACTTTCATCCACCCATCCATTCATCTAGTCATCCATCACTTAGCAGAAGGATTGATCAGAAGCCCCCAGGATCTGGAGCCATGAATGAAACACCACGGAGGAGACACAGTGAAACACAACATATTACTCATGTGCTTAAACTAAAAGTCAATGAGTGTTTTCCACCTGCCAGGCACTCCTGCATTTAGAGTGCAGTTCTGCCCTTATCCTGATCTTTTTGGTGCCTTCCGTAGTTCCATTTTATAGCAGAAAAAGCTGAGGCTCAGAAAGTGAGGTTCTATAACTGGCCAAGTTTGGATTGGAGCTCAGATGTGCAGATGTAGGCATCATTCTCTTTCTTGAGTTCTCCACCCCAGGGCCCCAGAGCAGCTTAGCTTTCTGGGGTGGGTCAGGTCTAATCTTGGTGGAATGCATTGAGCAATTCTCTATCTTTTGGAGTCTTAATGTATTCTTAGCCCTACATGTGATTTAGTGATGAGAAAAACACTGGTTTGAGAGTCCTATGTTCTAGTTCCAGTTCTGACTGAAGCTTTGTGTGTTATCTTTGTCTTTCTGAGCCTCAGCGTTTTTATATGAAAAATGGGATGCAAGCCTCTATTTTGCACCACCTCACAGGGTATAAAGGTCAAAGAAGAGATGGAATATAGTAATTTTTTGTAAACTCTAGAGTGTTGTATGTGGGTGAAAGGCTCCCAGGTGCTGATACCTCGGAGAAAAGGACATGTCAGCTCCCAAATGAAGTCTCTCACTCTTTCATTTTTATTTTTAACTTCAAACACAAAAATGTTTTTCTTGAAGTACATGCTTAAAAAGCTCCTATTGTTATGGGCAGGTCTTTGTTCTTAGTGCTCCCAAGATGTGGCCCGCCTCCATTGGGAGCTCTAAGAAAAAAGACCCGCTCGTAACATTTAGTGGCCTCATATGGGGATTCTCCAAAGCAGTGAGTAATATCGGACCACTTTCACTTGCTATTCTGTCCTATCCTTCCTTAGAATTGGAGGAAAATACCGGGCATCTGTCAGCCGGTTAAAAATGATTAGCATGGCTGCCGGACTAAAGACTCAGGTGTTAGGCTTCCTGGGAAGGGCTAACAACCCCCAACGCTTCTGGGCTGGTAGTGTTGGTCTGCCGGGAACCAGCTTCCACTTTCACAATTTTCCTGGGGAAGCTGAGGGCTGACTATAGGCAGAAAACTGTATCCCAAACTCCCAGCATTAGCCAGTTGAGACTATGGTGCAGCCAGAAGTCTCTACCCAACAGTCGCCCATGCATGTGCCCTTACCTTTCCTTCTGACCCATACCTCCTGGATCCTGACCATGACGTTTTTGAAAGTGTAGCCCCAAAATTCTCCTTACCTCTGAATCTACTTCCTCCGATCCCTGCTTCCTAGGTCCTTATGGTTCAGACTTTCATTTCCTCTAGCAAGTTATATCTCCAAAGGAATCTAAGGAAGCTCTATGCTGCATCTTTAGGCCCCTAGGCTATGAACCCAGAGTGTCTTGTCCCTGGTATCCCTCCCAATTTAGGCATACAGCTCTTGACATGGGCAGTTATGTGGGACCCGTTCCTCACCACCCTTGCCAGGTTCCCAAGTTTGTAAATGGCTAGGAAGATTGCTCTCCCATTGTGTAAGATGCTCTCCTTCCCCAATTTCTACTCTGCTTACCCCTCCACAATGCAATCTCCAAGCCTTGGTTCCTTGACCAGGGCCTTAGAACTGATGGCCCAGTACTTTAACAACTGGAACTGAGTCTATGACAACATAATAGATCAGGATGAAAGCAAATTGAGTAAGTCAGAGAGAGAGAGACAGAGAGGAAAGAGAGAGAGAGAGAGAGAAAGAGACAGTGGAAAGAGAAGCAGAGAGAGAAGGGAAAGAGGCAGAGAGACAAAGAGGGAGTCAAAGAGAGAAAGAAAAAGAAGTAGTAAAGAAAAAAGTGTGCCCTATTCCTTTAAAAGCCAGGGTAAATTTAAAACCTATAATTGATAATTGAAGGTCTTCTCCATGACCCTATAACATTCTAATACTACCTTGTTGTCAGTGTAAACAAGAGCGTAGCCTGAAAACACTGAGACCACCGACAGCCCGTAGACTTCCTATCAAAAATTTGTAACCCAGTAACCCGCGGATGGGTCAAATGCATTCAATC